ACTATCAGATTACTATCAGATTACTAACAGGACAGCTGGTGAATCCTATTACCACTTTTATTCTGGCACCAGTGCTAAGCCTGTCAAAAAGGTGTAAACACTAATTCAGACCACTTTCTGCCTATGAAGATACCTTTATTTGCAGCATCTAAAAGCTGAATGTATGGAAAAACCAACAGGCAGCTTCATCTCAGAGCAAACAAACTGGCTCACACATCGACGCTCACTGATGTTCCTCTGAAATGGCTTTTAGATACAAGTTTGAATCGAGGGCAAACTTCAATATTATAACTAGTATTAAAATTTATTGAAGTTTTACGATTGGTTGTAGCTACGGACAAGATCAGTGTAGGAAACAAGAATTTATCTCTAGCTCTAGCTTACTGCACAGGCAGTTTTGGTAGCACAGGGCAAATCCTTATGTTGGCTTTGTAGAACATATATAATTTCATTTAATTTCCACCAAACCATCAAAGGCTGTATTCCCACCACAGTGCACTAAAGCTGGTTATAGCACAGAGAAAAGAAAATGCTGTCTAACGCAAAGTGGCCTCAGTGCTTCCATCATTCACGGACTACATCGAGAACTCTTTCATGAGCTTTACGCTGCAGACACTTGAGAGTAAACACCACAGCATGCAACCATGCACTGGACCCTGATGTAAGTCTTTCAGCTGAAGTTTCTCTCAAAGCAACTGTAGTTCAGTTACAAGAGTGGGAAGTGCTCTGTGATACAAAACTCCAGCTTGGGAACCAGTGGCTGGAAAGTTGCCAGGCAGAAAAGGACCTGGGGTGTTGGTGGCAGCAATGCCCATGAGCCAGCAATGTGCCCTTGAGCCAAGAAGGCCAACGCCATCCTGGGGTGGATAAGAAGGGGTGGTTGTAGGGCAGAGAGGTTCTCCTGTCCCTCTGCTCTGCCTTGCTCACACCACAGCTGCAATCTTGTGTCCAGTGCTGGGCCCTCAGCTCCAGAAGGACAGGAACTGCTTGAAAGAGTCCAGCAGGGCCACAGAGATGGAGGGAGTGGAGCATCTCCTGCTGAGGAGCAGCTGAGGGAGCTGGGGCTCTTGAGCTTGGAGCAGAGGAGACTGAGGGGTGCCCTCATTCCTGGGGATCCATTGGGAAAGGGCAGTGTCAGGAAGAAGGAGCCAGGCTCTGCTCTGGGATGACCAATGCCAGGACAAGGGGCAATGGTCCCAAGCTGGAGCACAGGAGGTTCAAGCTGAAGATGAGGAGAAACTTTGTGAGTGTGAGGGTTCTGGAGCATGGCCCAGGCTGCCCAGAGAGGTTGTGGAGTCTCCTTGTGTGGAGACACCCAAAGCCCTGGCCGTGTTCCTGTGTGACTGCTCTGGTGATCCTGCTCTGGCAGGGGTTGCACTGGGGGAGCTTTCCAGGTCCCTTCCAACTCCTCATATTGTGTGATTCCAGCTGTCTGTAGTATTTCTACTGCCATCTGTAATCCTTACACTACTGTCATACAAGATTACAAGAGCTGCACTCACACAAGTCACTTGTTCACACCCAGACCAGCACTACTGGTGGTGAAGTAGCACCAGTGACAAATTTAGGGTCTTTTGGTTTGGGTTGTGGGTTTTTGGGGGGCATGGTGCATGAGCAGGGGTGTTAGGGCAATGCCAAAATAAACATTTCAACTACTCATACACAGGTTTCTACCAGAGTACTCCGTGCAACATTAAGGGATTCTCCAGCACCGTTTCCCATTCAACACAAGCAGAGAGAGAGAGCAGGTGGGAAAAGGCTTGGGAAGAAGAAAAACGCCCCTCTTCTGCTCGAGATGTAGCTCCTTTTAGAAAGCTGAGGAGGAATTAGACAGTTCTTATTATAAATCACCCCCATTGAGAACAATACTTCAATCTTCTTTGCACAGAGCAAGAAAACACATCTCTGAGGTGGGAAAGAGATGGCTGCTCAGTTTGAAAGCTGAGCAAGGCTTAACTTCATCTGCAAAGCTCTCATCCAGATGTGAAATTTATTTTTAAAAGTCTGCCTGCAGCTGGATTAAAACACAAAAAGGAGGAAAAAAATACACACACCCCCCCCCCCCCCCCAAACAAAAAAAATCAGCCCCTGCAAAGCACCCAAATTCCCACAGCTCATCAGAAGTTGTAGCAGCAGCAGGAAAAGCAATGGAGAGTTTCTTCCAGGAACATCACGACGCCAAGACCTCACAAGCCTTCAGCTTTTTCTATACAGCATTCAGTCTGCTATTTGAGTCTTTCCCAAGGAAGCCTTCAGGAATCCTTGATACAGACAGCTTCTGAGCATGAAAATTGGTATTTTTACCTTATTTAATATTTTGACCATAAAGCATTGGTTAAATAGGGGCTGTTTACCTCTTCATTCAGAACCAGGCCTCAAAACCAGCCAACTGCAGAGCACACCCAGCAACATTTAGGTTTGTAGGCTTATTTCCCATCAGCTAACTGTCCTTAACCCCAGTTACAGTAGTACCCAAACTAGAAAGTCCTAATTTTTCATCTGAAACACCAAAAGATTCCTTCACGAATAACATTTTTGTGCAGATACTCCAAGCCAATGAAACAGCTGAAAAACAAAGGTAGTGGCTGAACAAGAAGCTGTATAGGCAAATGGAGCCATCCACCCAACTCTAGGATCTTTAATCCCATAAACACATTGCATGCAACAAACGTTAAGATTTCCACTTACTTCCTCATTAAATAATTTGCTAGTTTCTTTTTTAATAGGGTCTATAAGTTGGACCTGGCCCGCAGAGAAGCCCACCAGAAGAGAGACACTTTCTGCCGTGGCCGTTAAGTGATTGAAGTCGTGGCATGTGGGCTGTGTTCCTTTGTAGATCCTTTTGTCGATGGGTTTGCTCAAGTCTGCAGCCTGCAAAGAGAGCAAACAGAATGAAGAGAGTTGATCACAATGTGGCCATACAACCAGTCCTATTTGCAAATGATGTTTATACCCAGCAACAATTTATGCAGTCATAAATTTATCAGCTCTGCATTTATCAAAGACATCCAAGATGTCATCAAAAGGTTTCATATAATGCAATACTTGTGTTTTCCAACTTTGCTAAACGCTGTATATACCCTGTGGCAACTACATCATGTGCCAAACCAGCAACAACCGCTCAGTAACACCAAGGCTCCAGTGAGTGCTCAACGCCAACCTATTCCCACAAGGCTTCTCCTGCCAGAAGAGGTTTTCCACCATCCAAAGACAAGAAATCTTCCACCTTCCTACTGGCATTTTCTTCAATACTGAATACAACCAATTTTGGATTAAAGACAGCATGTTCTCAACCACCTGATTCTTGTACTGGTTGTCTATCCTTTTATAACAGGCAAACATGTGATATTGGTCTCAATAGTAATAATAAAAACCCAACTAGATCCTCAGAGTGCATTTTCTAGGAACACTGACTCAAGATGCTGATCTGTGATTACCAAATGTATTTTAAGCCATTAAGCTACAAAGCTATTTTGCTTCTGACACTGAACACAGAATTCAAATATAGCTCAGGCAAAATAAGTGCTAACGAAACGAAGTAACTTCAATATAAACAAGTGAAGATCTGGCACTGCAGTGTCAGAAGAATCAAAAGGAACAGAAAAGCAATTTAAAGCGCTCCCTCGGTTGTGTAAGCCGTGTTTATCCCCACATCACTTCTGAACAGACAATCTAATCTTTCATCATCCACGGATTAATACCCACACATTTAATATGCAAGATCACACACCAGCTTCAAACTTTCTTTTCTTTTTTTTAAACTCCCTATTTACCAGCTTCAGAGCCTGTCATCAGAAACCCGCAGATACTCAGTGTTACAGACCCGAGACGTGGCTCTGATTTGAGACTCAGATTCTGATTCTGATATCTACTTTTTCAGTCTTTTCAGTCAGAGGAAATCAGGCCAGCAATATAAGACATGAAATTTCTTTGAGGAAGAGGACAAGATTCACATAAAAGAAGATTACTCCAGTGCATTAAAGCTTTAAGGTCTAAAGTGCAGCAAACCCTTGACATTCATGGAGCTACACAGCCCAAAACCAGACCTGGCAGGAGGGAAAAAATCACAATATCTACACAGTGAATCAGCTCAGGGAAGCCATTTCCAAGGCAAATTTAACTATGGGATATGCATGATAAGGATACACATGCACCAGTATTAAAGCTGCACTGGTGTTTCGCAGCATGCATTACAAACCAGTTTAGTCAGGTGTATGATCTCCTGGTTGAAAGCTCCAAATGAGATGATGTATTCCAACTTCTAAAGTCAGCAGATTAAAAAGTTACTCTCCAGAGCCCAGAGATCCATTAGAAGCTAAAAAAGAGTATTAGCAAAACCTCTTCAAGGAGAACTTAAATAGAAAAGCAGCTCTACTGGGAGATCAGAGGATACGGCGCATGCCTACCAGGGAGCACTCAGACAGATGCAGATCTGTTACCTTGTACATTGTGCAAGGTCCCTTGTCCTGTATCACTATAAAATAAGGGACACCAAGAGATAACTCTCAAAACTGAAGTAGCTCCTATATGGAAGACCGCTCTACAGAAGCGTACAGATACCTCCCTCTGTACCTTAAAGAAACGCAGCTTACAAGGTTCCCCTGTGAGACTCAAGGTTGTGTCCTCTTGGCAGGACCCGATGCCTAAGGAGGAAGATTCCTTTTAAATTAAATTGAATTTTGTCTGAATCATGCTGAATGGTCAGAGAACCACAGGCAGCAGGAAACACAGGTATTCCCAGCTTCCTCTCTTGCTGAATCCTCACCATCCTTTTAAGCAGCAAAGAATCAATAGGTGGCTATTTTCAGGCTGCAATTATACCTTGCTCTTTAGTCTGGTTGAGGTTTTATAGCACTCGCTTTTGTTTTTGTTGTCCGACAAATCTGGCATGAGTGAAGCTCCCCGTCTTCTGCAACTGTGTGATAACAGATCTAGCAAGACACGAAATTCGGATAAATTAAATCTAAGCACAGACTTGCTGTGCTTGCTCTAGCTGTTCCCTGGGAACCAGATGGCAGCGACAATCTGTCTGAACTTAAATGGAGTATAAATAAACTAATTCAACCCAGAATTACCAGGCTTCTACTGACAGGGATGCCCTGCCTTTTATTTACATGCAGCCAGTGCTTTCAGCTATAATATCCTTGTCTCATGCAGATAAATCAAATCAATAAGCATAAAAGTACTCTTTTGGTCTCGATCTCTCTTAACTGAAAGGGTAGAAACAATGAGCATAAGGACTAAGAGATATTTTCTTTATCTCTGCACACTTGAAGGCTGCTCTTGGATGTTGGTAAGAACAAGAAAAAGCACTTACTCATACAATTAAATTATGCCTGGGACTCAGCATTTCATTAGCTGACCACTAAGCCCATTTGCTACAGCTGCTCTGTGGAAGGTTTGACTCAGATAAAAGAGCTTTTATATGAGATTCAAGTCCACAACTGTCAAATCCTAGGACATGACACTATTTACTGACCTGTCCCTCCTCAGAGGAATGGTGATATACTCTGAAAGACAGCAGAAAGATTTTTAGGCCTAAGTGTTACCAAAACCGGAGGTTAAAAGCACAGGAGCAGGCCCCTCAGCTCTGCCTGCGCTGGTAGCACATTATTCACACGCTCCTGTCCCAGTTCCTGCAAGATTTTCTTCCCAAAAACCACTCAGCACTATTCCAGCCTGTCCACTTTGACAAACTGAAGCCATGGTGGATGATTCATGATGAGAGAAATATTTGGTAACCGCAGCTGAAAGAAGGTTGGGGCATCTGAGAATCGACACCATCCTCCCTTCAAACACGGATCTGTGCCAGCCACTGAAGTACATCTCGGCTAAGCAAGACTCTGGTGCTAGCACCTTGCTCCTCCCAACATACAGTGGTATTTTAAGTATTTCTTGGGCAAAAGAACAAGGAATAAATGGTTATCAGGCAACAGGAACAAGAGGAATCTCACACAGCCCCTACAGTCAGTGATACAGCAAACAAAATTGGTGAACCTTGGGCATCAACAGCTTCCGAGTCCTGTAACAGATTCAAACTCTCCAGAGAGCCTTATGCTTATTTACAGAGGAAAATTTGAGCAGCTTTGCCATTTAGTTCTTTGTGATGAATTCATACTCGCAATAAAACGTGAGCTGTGTAACTGTTCTGGGGTAGGGAGAAAAAAGGAAGATAATTTAACAGTGGAGCACAGAATCACTTGGTTGGAAAAGCCCTCTGAGATCATCACGTCCAACCGCTCCTGTCTACCCCCTAAACCATATCCTTAAGTACCTCATCTACCCGCTCTTTAAACACATCCAGGGATGGTGACTCCACCACCTCCCTGGGCAGCCTGTGCCAGCTTCTGACGACCCTCTCAGTAAAGAACTTCCTCCTTCTCTCTAACCTGAACCTCCCTTGGCACAGCTTGGTGCCGTTTCCCCTTGTTCTGTCCCCCATCACCTGGGAGAAGAGCCCAGCACCCACCTCTCTACAACCTCCCTTGAGGCAGTTGTAGGTGGGGATGAGGTCTCCACCTACTCCTGGGTGAGCAGTTGCCCATTGCCCCAGATCACAACTTCCAGCAGCAAGGCAGTCAAATGCAGTATCACAACTACAGCTTTAGGTACCTAAACACTAGGAAGAAAATGGGAAAAAAAGAAAGATCAGTCACCTCAGCCTGAAACAACTATTTCAGTTTTCAGATTCTGATGTTTGAAGTGTCTGGGATGGGCATCAATAACCTTGGTTCTGTAGCTCTCATCCTCTTATGCACTACTGATACGAGACTCAGAGCTTTCACATGAACATTGCCCAAACTGTGAATCACGTTATTTCAAGTCAGCGTTTAATCATGCTCCTTGACAGATGTAATTTCTTCCTGAATCTTTTCTTTTCCTAACTTACATCTGCAGCTTTCTGCAATTTTTAGTTGAATGCAGTGTACCATAGATGCCACATTTCCTTCCAAGCTAAAAAACATCTCCAGGATCAAAAAGGGAAGATGTTTTTTATTCATTTATCTCAGATAATTTCAACTGTGGCCATCCAAATGCTTCCTTTAAATACTTAATAGTATTTACCATCACATTTTACCAGAAGACTGGCTTTCAATGGGTTACACCTTTAAGATCAAGATAGAGTATTAGGTCTTTAAGCCTGGAAGTAAGGGCAAACCTTTAACAAAAATTTTACTTCCCAAAATCCTCTTAAGAAAAATATTTCTTGCCCAAAGAATTAATTGGTTTTGGATGGCAGATTCCAGATTGACTACGTATGTTTGCAGAGCTACAGTACAAATTAAGACACAGAGAAACAGAGAATTACACTTCTGAAAACAATTCCCTCAGCATTTCTGGAGCATGGCATTCCCAAGTTACTACGTGTGGTTTGCTATCTCCCCCATACCTTCATGGAGGATTTCATGGTCCCTGGTCTGTAAAGAGAACAATTAGAGAAAATAACATGAGAAATCAGCTCTTACAATTATTACCAAGTCAACTTTATTGACCTTTACAGATGCTTTTTAAACCCTGGCTGATAAAACCAGGCAAGGTAACCTCCGGTATCCCTAGGGCAGGGGCTCTCAGGCCAGACTTACTCACTGTATTAGCAACTTCACACTGGAAACCCCTCTAATCACCATCAAAGGAGGAGATTTTCAGACTTTAATAGACCCAAATACAGCTCAATTAACAGCATAGAGTAATTTGTAGTGACTTCCCTGTTGCTCCAAGCTGGTTTGGTCTCACAGTTGTCCCTGCATTGGACAGGAGGTGACACTGGAGACCCAGGCCCTTTCCAAGCTGAATCATCCCAAAATCCTACGCTTAGGATCAACCAACACAGCAGCAACATGGCCACTGCCTCCTCTGGTTTGTGTCCTAAAGCAGCTTCATGCAGGAAGAAAACTACAGGAACAAGTCAGTTGTCTTTCCAAAAAAAGAG